GTGAAATCAAAAGGTTCTATCGCACTTAAGTAGTAAACAAACTATCCGCTGAGAAGCCAACAACTTGAAAATAATGATGTATAGCTTTTAATGCTATTTCAGCTTTTGTCAAGATAAGTGCATAAGAGTTTCTTACAAGCAGCACAGATGTTTCCCTGGCTCAAAGCTTTATGAACATAAGGTATGGATATAAAAATCAAGGAGGTAAATATGTAAAACGGAATAAACACCGTGGCCAGGGACCTTTTCATATATCTTGCATGATTTCTTTCTTAAGTCAACAAGTGGAGAATGTAAGCTGTGGCTTCTTTATATGCGCGAGACGGAGATAAAGGTTCGTGAGTAGGCAGAGAGGGTTGTGCATTAGATGGGAGACCACCCGGGTCAATAGAAGTGACAGTATACGTAGGCAGAACAGTACACCGCATATTACTGTCCACTTAGCCTGCTCTCATCCCTGCTCAAGCACTTCACTCCTTTTTCTTCCTCCTGCTTCCTCCCCTACCTGGCGATCACTTATGCAACGAGACTTTTACACAAAGACGGTTCCACTCAGGGCTTCTTTCTATGCTGATTAACTATAAAGCGTCGAAGCTAATTAGACCGATCCATTTATTAGAAAATAAAATAATAAAAAGGGACCGTAAATAGATGCCTTTGGGAAATGTTGCCTTTCAACAGATGCTGAAATTTCACAAAGAAACAAACAGTTCGGCACTGAAAGCATCAACTAGCAGCAGATTTTTCCTTTTTTAAAAAAGGCAGCTTGCTTTGACGCCAGCATCCCACTGACCTCATACGCATCAGCTGGAATGACGCTCGCGATTATTTTAATGAGGCATTAGGAATAGTTTAAATATTGTCTTTTATTAACGCTACAGCACGAAATGTGTCCCATGTCTCGCTGAGTCAACCCAGATAGACACGTCAATGCAGTAAAAAGAAAAAATCCTCTGTTCGCCTCCCTCCTGGTTAGGGCTGAGCTTTTGAAGTTGCCACCCAAAAGCATAAAGAAAATCAACAGAGAGGCTCAGTGACTGCGATAGTGAATGGATGTTTTTGTCAATGGAAGGTGGGAGGTGAGAGAAATTAAATGGAAGACATCAAAAAAAAAAAAAAAAGGGAAATGTCTGGGGAGTGGTGTTTACCAATGTGTTTTCTTTTCTTTTTTTTTTCCCTCAGAATTTCTGTGCTGCTGTTTTGGTTCCACGCTGGGAACGGGAGCAGTGTCTGTCAGAGATTAACACTACACAGAGCGAGAGAGAGACAGAGGAGGGGGGGAGACGAGGAAGAAAGGGAGGGATAAAGGAAGACAGAGCTGATAAACACAAAAGTGATTTTTTTGAAAAGAGGGAGTCTGAAAGTAAAAGTCTGCCTAAAAAAAAAAAGCAACAGAGAATCACCCGAGAGACATAGAAGGGAAATCAGGGGTAGTGGTGGCGGCGACGGCGACGGCGAGGAGGGTTATAAATAGAGTAGACAGAAACCAGGGCCTCTCCCCTCACTGGATGCCACATTAATTATGCATGTCTGCATCAAGAGAAATTAAAACATAGCTGTGTGGCAGTTTAGAGAGAAATTGAGAAAGGATGAAGAGGAGGGGTAGGGAGAGAAAGAACGAGAGGCGAGGATGGAGAGAGCAGATATCACTCAGAGATTTAAAACTGGACACGAAAGACGAGGAGGCGAGTGAAGCGCAAATGAGCGGAAAGGAAAAAAAGGCTATTAGACCAAAACAGCAGCACAAAAGCGGGAAAAGAAGAAAAGTGCGCTCGTGCCTGCACCCAAACTCGATTTCAAAAGGACACGAGAAAAAGAAAACAGCTAATTACAGAGTAGTGAAATATGGAAGTATGGCGGAGGGAGGGGAGAGAGAAAAAAAAAAAAAAAAAGCACAGTCAACTGAGTCAACATGTCATCAGCTCAACAAAGCGCCAGAAAACTCAAAATGGCTGTCGAGCGGCGTGAGCGAGACAAATATTTTATGAATGCAAATGAATGTGCCACCCAAACCCGAATCAGATGTTATTCACGTGAGGCCACCTTGGGAACATCTCAGAAGGGCGCGCCGCAATCAGATGGTATTCACAGCTGAATCAACAGCGGAATCTCATGCTAATGAAATCAAATGATCCATATTCATGTCGGAGCGCGACACACCTTAATGTCGTGTTTCGGTTATGCTCGCTGTGCTCGCGGGGGCAAAAAAAAAAAAAGACTGAGATAAGGATGGATAAAGGGCACGGACCACTTCTTACTTTCTGTCCTTCTTCATCACTGTAATTCTGCTGCTAGCTCGTCTTCCTGCACTTCCTCTCACCTCTTCAGTCCAGCTTCTTTTCAGGCAACTCTATCCTGTTACATATAACATTACACTATCATGTGACTCTCTTTCAGCTGGATGTGCGCTTCTATCCAATTTACTCAGTCAAATTCTTTCCACTCAGGGATTTTTACTGTTGGACGATTGTGCCTTTTTTTTTTTTTTCTTTTTGGAAAACTGACAGCTTATATGTGTGAATGCTTAACTGTGTTGTTATCTACTCGAATGTGTCCCTCCGAGAGTGTGACTGTGTTTGTGTTCGTATTAGCCCAAACAGCAGGTCAGCGCAGGCAGCCAAGCAGCCCCCACACTGGGCTCAGGACTCATTATATGGCTCGGTCCTGCCTGCTAACTCCCACCTACCTGTGAAAAACTTGCTGACACCACCGATGACTGGCAAGGGAGAAAATGTGTGAGAGAATGCGTGTATGGATGGAAGAGGTTATGTGCATGATAACAAATGCTTAATTTAATCTCGTAAGCATAAAGTGAGGAAGTGCAGGGCGGCAAAGCAACTTTACAAGTCGGAGAAATGTTACAAACTGTACATTAGAGTGTGTGTAGTAGGGCTGGGCGATGTCTCATGTTCACTGGTAAACTATTTGCAATATGTTTTTAATCACCCTTTTCGTTAATAAATGTAACCATCTTGTCAAGGCACATGTGTGATCATTTTAACCCTCAGAACCCCAAATTTCCAACGATCCTTGAACTAATGATCGGTAACATGCCGTTAGTTTGGAAAACTTGCTTTAAACATGTCTCATTAAAAATTTGCACAAAGTCAACCATTCACTCTTCTATAATTCTGTCAAAAACAAAGAATTTCACACTCCTTGTCGCAACTGTGAAGCCTTCAGTGACTCAGTTAAACTTCACATTCATGTGACAAAAATTCGGGAACTTTCTAACTGAACTGCAGGCTTTGCTTGCACAAGAGCAGAGACACAAATTCCAAATGTAAGTACGAAAAGATCTACAGTAGAGTCCCAGTTTCTACTCTTTCTTTCTGTTTTCCCCACGATTGGTAACACCTGTGGGCACAGGTTAATCGCATTGTTTTAAACAAAACAAACTCAAATTTTGTTTTTTATTTTTTATGATTTGTGGCATGGCTACTGTGCCATATTCTACAAAAGTGATTTCTCAGTGCGCTCTACTTCTAGCCATGGTTGTGTTGTTTCCATAGAGCTGCCTGACTTCATACTGCAGTGACACATGAGCCCGCACTGAATCGAATGCATTTTAATGAAACTATCAAACATCCTATTGCACAGTTTTCTCATTGCTATTGATTAAAAGTCAATCGCCTGAACATATCTATCATTTTGCCACCCAGGCCTAGTATATAGGCATCTGTAAAAATAGCAAAACTTTAAATAAACATGTACCTGCACGGCTGCACTGACTCATGGGTTACATTCTGCATCCTCGTCAATACAATTCCCATGCTGCTCGCGCATCAATTATTTCACAGTCAAGACTTTCTTAATACAACCCATGTCACTGGCTTGCCCCCCACACACACACACAATCTCACACACACATACACACTTGGACATTAGTCCACCTGCAACGCTGTCGAAGACTCCATTTCCATGACAATTAAACACCGGAGGACAGTGGAGTCAGCCACCCTACGCAAAGAAGCCCTTTAAAACGGAGATAGGAATGGAGGGAGAGTAAAAAAAAAAAAAGAGAGGGAGTGTGTGGCCTGGATAAGTGGTGCCAGGATTATAGCTGGTTCCATCATGGCTTTGGTCCGTTCACTGCTTCTTATAAAAACCTATTAGCATGTGAATGAACAGGCACACAGTGGATGGAGTTTTCTAAAGCCCAGGAGCACTGATCCACTATCAGGTGAGCTTTCCGTATACTGGGAATGAGCAGTGTGTGTGTGTGTGTGTGTGTGTTTGTGTGTGTGTGTGGTCTATTTGACTGTGTCCACTTTTGTCAGAATTTTTCGTCGAGATTTGACATTGCTCAAGGAAAGGCCTAGAGCGCTTTATTCGCTGTGTAATAAAGCTGATTTGGGAGTCAACAATTGTATTTAAAACCTCGGAGAACACGCTGAGGGGAAAACCCCAATTTTCAGCAGTGCTGCGGTACACGGACCAAACGCAGACAACTGAAATCAAACACACAGCACAGAGGAATAATTAGCTTATTAAAGTTATTGTCTCCATATTTGTCCTGACAATAAAACTGACTGACGGTAAGTTTTTGACAAACGGAGGAAAATCCTTTACTTGACAGATGAAACTGTTTTCGGACTGGGCTGAGAGGAAAATAGACCCCATCTGCTGTGTATCAGTAGAAATACTGTCTTCTCAGCCTTGTATTTACTTACACTTAATATATATTCAGTGGTGCATGCCACTGAAGATTTGAAAAGTTAATAAATAAATACATTTTTAATACTTGCTGCATAAATATAGTGAGTTTAGATATTCACAGTGTCGCAAATGTAGAAAAAGCACAGCCGGAATGCATGTTGGAAACACATTTTTAAGCCAAACTAGCTGCTCTCCTTATCTGTATCCATTGTTCAGAGTATAACAGACATTATTCTTCTCACATCTCTGAACTGAAGTGGTCTTGTGCTCAAGGCAAACTAAAATTGGAGTGTGAAAGTAAAATGCAGCAAAGTAGGTACTAAAAACTTGGACTATGAACACTAAAGCTAAAAAAAAAAGAGCCAAAACGGCGGAATAGCAAGAGTTCCCAACATGCGAAACGGCCAGCGAAACAATAGGAAGTGAGGCGAGCTGGGCCAGAATGTTCTGCTTGATTGCTTACCTCCCTTTGCAGCACCAGCTCTTTGGTGAACAGCATGGCCTCGTCGCTGAAGGGCTCAGCCACCTGCATCCCTCCGGGCATGTTCCGGGAACTGCGTGGACATTCGATACCTGGCCAAAAGACGACACAGTTGTGGGAGTTATAGGTCGGCACAGCTGCTTATCAAAAGAACAGCAAGATGCCTGAAATCCGTTTAGCAGGATTTGGCATGATGAGATGAGAAACACAACCAGGAGACACGATTGGGTTGATTAAAAAAAAAAAAAACTCCAAGAATTAATACAAACATCCGCAAGTGAGTGAATAGACTTTGTTGCATTCACAATTTTTTTCGGACCTCTGGTGCTCCCGACACCTGATGCCACATCAAGCATCCTCCTCATCCCTCTTAACGGGTCGGGGTCAGAATCGCTTTGCCGCGCAATTTCACAAATGCACGTCAGCGGCACAACACACTGTCATCCGCGCTAAATGGATAATTGCTCGTCGAGGGGTCACTCCTGAGTGCACGAGCCAGTTCCGTGTAACCTATTTCCACTGAATACCAGTCAAAGTGAAATTTGCGTCTTTGGAAACCTTTGACAACAACATCACATTTTCAGAGCTTCTTCTTTTTTTTTTTTTTTTGAAAGGCAGAAATGGATGAGCTCCAGGGCAGAGGTGGGAGGAAGAGGAATAAGAGCGTGTAAAGGTGCTATAAGACCGCACAATTTCTACCTGTTTAAAATGTACTGGGATTAAAAGGATGCAGAACAGAGTGCTTCTGCATGTGAAGGTGAAGGTGAGCGGGCTTTAAGCTAGTGAGAATATGTGTGCTGATCTGAAGACTTACAGAAAGTTTAGGTTTCTGTACAAAGTCTACACGCGCATTATGAATTTTTCATGTACAGCCTGTATCAGAGGAGCAAACCGAGCTTCAATTCAAACACGTTTCTTTGGTCTTTTACACTCTTTAGGATCCTATACGCTTTATTTTCATGTAATACGAGCCACAGCGCAGCGTACTCCCCTTTCAGCAAATGTTGAAAACCTCCACAGAAGTTTATCCGTTGACATCCCGTTCGCTCCCAATTCCTGAATTAATAAGCAATTAAATCCCTTTACCACTACAAATGTACATCAACAAGCAGGTTGCTGTTCTATTGTTTTATGCAGAGAAGCCTAATGATAGTTTCAGCTGGGAGTTAAACCCTCCAGCGCCGTGCTAATAAAGCAACAGCTCTCTCTCCGAGGGTCTTTTCTTTCCGCTTTGACTCAAGGTTTAATTTAATGAGCTTCACTGGCATGACAGATATACCGCCTCAGGATGGATTCGCAAATACATGACAGAGAAGGAAAATCTGATTTGTTAGGGCATCCTGGTGACACAGTGGTTAGCGAGGCAATCTCGCCGTATGGGGGGGGGGCTTTGAATCTCACTCGGAAGTTTTGTTTACGCTCTCCCGTGGACTTCTTTTGAATGGAGACGTGTTTTGTCTAAGAAGGGTTTCGGAGACATGTCTCTGGGGAAGATGCTGACCGGCTGATAAGAAAGAAAGCGCTTGATGGACACGTGGATTTAAATGTGAGTCAGTTAGAGCAGTCATGTTTCCCTTATAGATATATTTTTCGCTGCTACATGCATCTTCAAACTCAAACACGACGGCGCTTTACGGTGACATTAATCTGGGACACCGTGTTCTAGGTGTGTCTAAACATTGGCCGCCGTATTTGCAAAAGAAAATCTCTCAGGATCTTCTCTAAAAGCCACATTAATTTCATGATTTGTGTTTTTTTTTTTACAGAGTGCCAAATTCTAAATCCCTGCAGGATTGTTGCCCCGGGCCCATTTTAAATTAATAACCCGATTTGAAATTGACTGAAGCGAACCCTCCGAACCAAAAAAAACAAACAAAAACAGAAACAATCCTCGGATTTTCAACTTCCCAGGGGTTTTTTGAGCAAATCATGTGTGATATTTCCTGTAATTAAATGTAATCTGCATGTAAAAATAAACCGTCTTCACTAGTCAGACACTTAAAAATTAAAAATTCAGAGCTCCTCCAGAAGCCGTGACTGCTCGGCTGCGACCGTGTGACAAATGTTCCTGGATTTCCAGGTGAACTGCAGGCAGTGTTTAAACAGGGGAAAATAAAACGTATCCGAG